CACGGACTACAAAGCATTCGAAATGTCGGGCAGTAGTTAATTTATTATAAGTTAACTAATATATTCCGCGTTATAAACCGTTGAATGTTTTAAATAAACAACATACAATTTAGAAAGTTACACTAAATGCTGTCTGTCGTTTACGCGAGTAGTAATTACACATTTAAATAAAATTAAATGAAATATATTAGTTAAACTTATTTAAATATTGTTTTAATTACGGCCCGACGTTTCAGATGCTTTGCAGCAACCGTATTCATGGGGTAGTCAGGTGTAATCAGTAGACTAAAGATGGAAGGTGTTCTAATGTCAAAGTAAAAACTGCTACGCTAGCGCCATCTCTTCCGTCGTAGTTGGTATTTGGCGGGACTGGCCGTAGTTTTTTTAATAAGTTTAACTAACATATTTTGCGTTTTAAACGGTTAACGTGATTTATTTAAAGTAACACTAACGTATAGTTTAAGATGATTTCACATTTCCTCCAATCGCAATGAAAACAGTTAAAGCCGTTTCCACGATCATAACCCCGATACAACGCCACTGTCTACTGAACAAATATGTTACATACCATTTATTGCTAATACAATTCTCGTTATGTGTGTTAGATCATTGACAATACGTGTCGGCCCGAATACTTGGGATAGCTGATCGCGCTTCGCTGCCAATGAAATGGAATCCGTTGCCATTAGAAATTTTGCTTAGCAAGATGACTTCACTGGGCGACTCCAAGATCGTGCAAAGGATTGACATATCGACACGCACTTACATTTTTGTCACTCAACTATCAGCCGATTGTGGAATCTAACTTTCGATTTAATTATATTTTGAATTAAATAAAAACGACAATCTTAAACTGCGCGTGATAATCTGTGGAAATTTAATGTAAACAATTAAAAATCTAATTATCACAAACTAGGCTAATTTTGAATTAAGAATTGTGATCTACATTGTCTATGCCGTCTTGTTTAAAGAACCATAATGTTAGTGATTAAAAAAACCATGCTATGCTTAGTTCGAATGACGTTCTATTTTCAAAATTAAGCTAAATTTACGTCCGAAGAGGTATCTAAATTAAAATTAAAAATAATAATTAAATCTTCTTTGTTTAAATTCGGTAAAAGTTGAATAGTTGTGCAGGCAACGGTTGACGTCTCTGCTAACCTGGACGTTACATAAATAGCGTGCAACAAAAGAAATCCTCAATATCAGAAGTAAATCTGAAATCGATACCTGTTATTATAACAATAGTTATCGGTATTCGGTTGCATTCCACAATATGTTCGTAACTGTAGTCGGCAACCTACATTCTTTTCGAAACCGTAACACGTCTCACTGTTCCGGATACTAGTGAAATACACGCAAAATCCGCAGCGAGTGAAGGCAGATTTATAGAGCGTAAGCTAGCTAACAATCCCGGTAATGAGGTATTCTGAAGCTGAAGGTTCCGAATTTATAGACAAACTATCCATTTAAACCAAGAGGAATAAGAAGAATGGAGTGCTGATGATAGTCTGGTAGTATAATAATATTACTCCAATATTCTAATCAATTAATATTTTTATCTGGATATCTCGATATTAAATGGGTGAGAATATTAAAATTCCTTCCGGGGTGCGATCGACACATAAATAGGGCGAGAAGTTTAATCGCGTTACGGTTTAAATCTATGGATTTCCGATTATGTGGATTTCAAAGTCAAAATAGGTCGAATTGAATAATTCTCTTCGTTTTGTTCATTGAGGAAGGTTTTAGGGTATAAAATAAAATGGGAGAAACGGGGAAAATCATTCATCACTGCGCGTAAAAACGGTTCAAATTTAAAAAAAAAGATGTATGAAAGAATAATTCCTCTTTGAACGATATAAAAAATCCGCAACAGAATATAACAATCTTTTAAGATTCACTTGCAAGAACGACGGAACGGGGACGTTGCAAAAACAGATTTTGATGCCCAAAGAACTATTCTACGCGAACGAAGTTGAGGCCGCAGCCAGTTTGCTTATGAATCTATATATCTATATTGCCTTAAAACTCAAACCTAGCCACTGAACTAGGTACCTACTACGAAAATATTAAATTCATAGAACTAGTTACCACGTCAGTTATTTTAAACATTTAAATCTTAGTAAGTGCGCGATGGACACAGAAATCATTGTGAAGATTGATAAATCGAGTTTTCGGAATCCGAATGAGTTTCCGATATGAATAGAGTCATTGATGAATCGGAGACAGCTGGGAATGCTTAGCATCGAAATAGATATGTTTAATAGTAAATAGAAGACGTTCTAATTTAAATAAAACGTTTTCACGGTTTAAAACGCGATATACATTAGTTAAAGTTATTTTAAAAAAAATATTATTTTAACTGCGGCCCGACGTTTAGAATACTTTCTAGCAGCCGTGGTTACAGGGAGATGTATATATATCTAATATATTATAATTTTGAAATAAGTTTAACTAATATATTGCTTCTATCTTTAGCCTCCCCGGTACTGTGTGAGTTTAAAGAATACATTTCTCGTTTTTAATCGTTAAAAGTGTGTTATCTAAACTATAAAAAAATACATACTACGGTTCAATTCGAATAAAAAATCCTAGGACGTAAATGTGGTTTTTTTTTTAAATACATGACGTCCTCGAGTTAGAATTTGTATCAGATAGTAATATAAATATGGCGGTGCGGGCCAAATTCCACGGCGCTTTCTCTCATGGCTTGTGACAAGCGCATGCTCGCACGCAAACCAACGAAAGTAAATCGACGATCGTCGTATGCGCAGCTGTCATCGCGTTGCATAATTATAATATGTGATCAAGACATTGTTTGTAAACAACCAATAAGAACAATGCTATGCACAAGACACGTGACGATATTTTTATTGACAAACTAATGTGTCCATCAGGCGTTTAAAAAAAATTACGATGAAGCTTAATGACAGAGCAAATATATCTTAATGTCTTTATTTGTAGTTCTATAAATTCCTTATTTTAATAAAAAATCTAATTAGATTCAAAACACGGGCTAGACTCGAACCGACAAACAGCGTTCCGTGTTGCTGCTCTAACCAATGACCTATCTGATTTCATATTTAGTTTAAAATAAACTCTTCTACAGTAGATTATCTCCATCATCGGAAATTGTTAATTATCACAAAGTGTTATCAAAAAGTTCGCTAACTTTAGATACAATTTATCAGTAGAACAGACACAGAAGCGTGTCTGCCCCCTGTGCCACAATGGGGAAGCAGGCGTTTACACTTTTAATTATGTACTTAGCCGGGGAAAATTCGTATTTAGAATTCGTGCATTAGTTATTGAAAGGTATGCGGAAAATGTGCGCATACGCAGCACGAGGATATGACTAATCTCGACAGATTATGGTATTGTAATGTGTGGTATTGGCGAAATTGCCTATCAGTTGTGTCATCCTTCGTCAGCAATTCGTGGCTTTTCTTATCGGGATACTTAAAGATACTGCACTCGGTACTACTTTGAAAATATGAGAGTCGGAGATCACAAAATTTTTTCTTCGCATGTATGTACCAGGTATTTCCAATCGGACCTCGGATGTAATAAAAATGAATACATTTACAAAATTTGACTTGCTCGTAGGCATAAATGTAGCAACGTAGGGCTAATACGGGTCGTGGGTTTGACACCTACTGGGTCCAATATGTTTTTGTGAAATTTATAATTTCTCTAAAATATGTTGAACTTCGTCTGGAAATCTGGATATTATATGGGTGGTGGGAATATCGAAACTTTCGCCCACATCACCAACCGCCGTCCACAAATGAACAGGCCGTGAAGTTCGATCGCGTTGCGGATTCTCGAATATCCAGCCAAATAGGTCGATAGTGCATCGTTGTAGATGTTATATGACTGGGGTATTAAGAATACACTATGACTGTGTTATTTGGTAAAACATAATTAATACGTCATTATATTTGCTATAGTATTGAAAATGTAATAAACAGATTTTAGCAAAAATACATTTCAAATTAAAAATATATGTAGGTACTAAGCTGTACGTATAAATGATTCAGTAAAATTTTCTGACCGACTCAAGACCAGGAAGTGCCGGTTCAATGATGTCGGTAAAAACTGAACGTACTTTACAAAAATTATCACAAAGAGCAGGAAATTCTTTGGCAACAATGTAGCCAGTACATAATAAGCCATTGTTTCAGCTTTGCTCTATACTTTTCGTTAATTGCCTGCTTTGATTCGCCTCGTCAAAAATCGATTAAAGATAAATTGATTTGTAGATCATTGGTGTTTTTTTTTTTTCTATTTCGTGAGCTTGTAGAATTAATTATGATGGACTTATATTGATAAAGGATTTTGAATTATGAAGTATTCGTATATATAATACATTGCCAGGTGAGGTTTCAAATTTATTGTCTTAAAAGGCGTATTATTGTTTAAAATACTTCTTTAAAGGCAGGGCTGCCTGGCAGTGATATGAATTGCTCCTTAGGTCATTAAAGTCACAAAACTGTATTAATTTGTAAGACATGTTGAAAAAAGCCAGTTTCTGGGGGGGGGGGGGTTTCTTCTTTGGAACACTGTGGAATTACGACAAACGGGCAGACAAACATATTATTTAATATTTTTTTGACGAATCTAAATGATTTTTATAATTTTACAGAAAATAAAGTATATTTTATTTTATTATCTTTTAGCTTAGGATGATCAAGATTTTATACTAGCTTATTAAATTTTATTATATATAGTATATACGAATAGAGATAGTTGTAGCATTAATAAATACATTAATAAGATATACTGATACTGCTCTGAATTGACCACTTTACGCACGATTACGATTTTTAGAATCCTAGTTGTAATGACCAGAGGAGCAATAAAAAAATAACTTGTCCAATTACATCAGAAGTCGGATGTCTTATATAAAATATATCTTTTCTAGGTATGCTCAGTAGTAATAAAGACAGTGAAACGATTAGAATTATCGTCCAAGCGTTTCCGCCGACGAACAACGACTAAACAATGTCAGCTGGATTCAGGAATGTGACCCGCCTACAAGGCCAGATGCCACCTACCATATGGATACTTCGTCTATACAAAACAGACGCGTACGCGCACAGTCGGTCGCTGAATTCCGAGACGATTCTAAACTGACTAATTGATACTAAATAATACAATGATTGATGACTGGAATCGGGTCAAGGGGCAAAGGAATACTGGCGAAATGCTTGTAAAATGTTTTTTGGTGCAGAAAGTACCTAAAACTTTATATAAGGTTCCATTGTGAAACTCGCAAAAAACTTTAAAACATATTATTTTTTAAATATAACCTTTTTAACGGTTTAAAACGCGAAATATATTAGTCTAGGTCCACGACGTCGTACCGTAATTGAAATCAATTGTAAATAAATTAACAAATATATTTCGCGTTTTAAACCGTTAAAAGTGTTCTACGCGCAAAACACTATAGACAATAGATCCTTTAGTTTTCTCTATTAAGTATCTTCTTATATCATTATATACAGAAATAAAAAATAATATTATACCTTTATGTGTACTTTGTATTAAAATTAATGGAGCTTATACAACAAGCGTTTTATGATTGTTATACTCTCTAATATGTATTTTCTCTCTCTCTCTATCTCTACTTTTATTTCTCTCTTATTGTCAACTTAATCAATTTTAAAATAAGAACGCAACGAAACAATTTAGGATAGCATGTTTGCGAGTTCTTTGTAAAAAAAGGTTGTGTTAAGATTACGCCAAATATATGGTAAATATCTCAGTAATGACTTGTGTTTACAGATTAATTAGCATTTGGATAACTTACCGAAGCCGTCTGAGTCACTCGCAGGGTATGCAGGACACGGTTGCACCATAGTTGCTGCACGTGATAGCACGTCCAGGGCCGATTCCACTTTTTCCATTTTTACTAGAAAAAGAAATTACTTAGATCACAACGCTGTACAGCATAAACATCTGTGCTGCGTCATGCAGTTCCGTTGAGATAAACACTTCGATTGAAGATAGACATAACGTTGCAATAATAATTTTTAATACTATATTAGTTTAATACACACAGTATTTAAAGTAGGCTAACGATTTAAAACGCAAAAAATGTTTTCGTAAATGTAAAAGTGTTGGTTTATCCGTTCTACACACCCTAAGTAAACAACCAATTTATAATTTTCGGGGTATATAACAATATATAACATAAGCTGTCATTTGTCCCAAAAATTCTAGGGGATTTTGAAAACATTTGTATTGAACTTTGCTATCAAGCTCAATTAGAGTTTGAGTCGTATGGCATAAATTTTTCGATAGATAGAATAGATAGTCAGAACAGACCTATATTTATTCAATTTCAAATCGTCGCGCCCCGTCGTTCTTGCAAGTTAACCTTAAAAAGATAGACATATATTTTACTTAAACCCTCACATATGAATATGTTCTTCATTTTTTTACATTTACCGCTTCCCTCTTGGTCAGCGCGTGATCTCTTATAGCCTAAAACATTCCTCGATAAATGATCTAAACAACAAAAGCATATTTTTTTCAACTCGAACCAGTAGTTTCTGAGAGTAGCCGGTATCCCGTTTACAAACAAACTCTTTATTTTAGATAACATGTGAAATTAAGTTTCAAAAGTTTTATGCTTGAATAATCTCAAATCGAAAAATGTATTCCAACTTTTCTTATCAGTACATGTCACTACGTTATATTTAGCGATAAATTATGGGTCCCAGTGCTATTTTAGGTTTGTTTGCACTTTGTAGAATACCGCACACCACCGGCCTCGCGATAAAAAGATAATCGCGAATCGACTCAGGCGCAACATCAAAACATACCAACGATGGCATTTTTGTCTGCGCACGTAAAAATATTTGGCTCAGAATGAATGTCGCCGTGAAATCATATGTATGTAAATAACGAAGCGGAAATTCCTCACGGCACGAAACGACTAGACATTGTACAGACGTACATTACAGACGTGGTCGACTAAAACATGCTAAGGGTTCCGAATTAATGACTACTAATTTCTTATCGTTACCATATATTAGTAGTACTAATTTAATACTATTTTTCCTTTTTTTTGTTTCTGTTGAAATATATAGAAAATAATAGATACGTACAATTTTCAAATCTAACTATCGCGATTCAGACAGACATTGAAATTTAGTACTGGTTACTGAAACCTACTGAAACACAGAAAATAAAAAAATGTATATACAATATCTCTACAGCTCACATCTAATTGCTGATTCTTATGGCCTTCCGTTAGTCATAAACGATTCATATTTTTTTGTAACGCGGGACAACCCGCGTTATATCGACACAATCGAGGCAGAGATACTGTTTGTAGTTTAGGTACGCAAGTAGTAAGTATTTAAATACATCACGGCTTAACGGTATAAAACGCGAAGCGATAAATTTTACAGCGATTTCAGCTACGGCTGACATCGTAAGCCTATTTTTAAGAATTTCCAAATAATTTAAAAATCGAAAACAAGTTGAAAAAATTTTTCTACTCGAGCAGGACTTGAACCGGCATCGTCAGCAACAGCACGGAACGCTGACGATGCCGGTTCAAGTCCTGCCCGGTAACACTAACGGTTTGATACGCTATATATATTACTTTAAAACTTGCTTTACTTTCTTTTAAATTTAATTTGGAAATTTGAATACATTAATATTTTTCACATGTTAGTGCACATGAACACACTATATAATTTAAAAATCGAAAATAAATTGAAAAAAAAATTACGACTCGGGCAGGACAGCAACAGCACGGAACGCTGACGATGCCGGTTCACTTATTACAGATTAACTATACGTCAAAATAAGTCGACGAGTATAATGGTAATATTTTTCCAAATACGGTACTTTACTCGGTACTTACTTTTTGTGCTCGAATGATCTATACTCTAAACTAATATATAAAGATGTGGAGTTTGTTTGTTTGAATGCGCTAATCTCAGGAACAATTCAGGTTCAAATTAAAAAATATATATTTTTGTGTTGGTTAGAGCATTTATCGAGAAAGGCATCGAGAAGTGACAAATAGCAGCGAAGAAACAGCGGGAAATGGACGAACGGGAATGGAAGAAGAAGATAATTATTCTTTGTAGGTTTCCGATGTGTACACTGCGATAACGGTTCAAGATACCCAAAAATTATGTATGAAAGAATGATTTCTCTTAAAATGATCTAAAAATGTCCGCTACACTATAGAAGATTATATTAACTCGCAAGAACGACGGCACTCGACTGACGTAGTGGGTCGTTTAAATTTATTAAAGATGAAGAGGTTTGCAAAAACAAATTTGTATACGCAAAATAACTATTCTCCGCGGACGAAGTCGCTGACACTAGCTAGTGTTTTAAATAAGGAGGATGATCTGTCGGAAGAAATATAATTATATTTCATATCTAGCGCGTGTCCCAGTTGAAAAATAATTGAATTAACACGAATACACTTCAAAGTTAGTAAACAAAATGGAATGTTGAGTTGAAAATTGACGAATTATTGTAATGCAGCATTTTATCGTTACAGTTTCAAAACGATCGCCAAGAAGCGGGTCAAATATTTCAAGAGTGTATCACGATTCTTTCGGCGACTAGAAATTTTTCCAACTATTTAAATCGTCGCTTAGCATAGCGATATAACATCTAAACAAGATGCACTGTTGCCCAATTTTGGCTTTGGATATTCGGAAATCCTAGTTTCTTTTGGAATAGAAGAGATTTTAAGAGTTTTTAAGAGCTGTGCAGTTTCCCTTTTAACGACAAATAGACACAATATTCGACCTCATGACCTAGACGGGCTTCGGACAGTGGCTCGTTACCTGGATGGAATTTTCGACATTCCAGAGACCAACATGTTTCAATAAAAATATAAATTTTAATACAAACACGTTAGACCTCGAAATAATCGAACCCACGACCGATTATTAGCTATACTTTGCTACCACTACACCGACGAGTCTTTTAAAAACTCTAGAACAAGTCATCAAGTAGTACACGGATAAGCCGAATTCGACAACATATACAACCTGTCTATAGTTTACGCGAGTAGTACACATTTAAATAAAACACTTTAACGGTTTAAAACGCGATATATTAGTCGGGTCACGGGTCCCGTGACCACGACTGCTGCAAAGCATCCGAAACGTCGGGCCGATGTTAAAGAACATTTCCAAATAAGTTTAACTAATATATCGCGGTTTTAAACCGTTACAGTGTTTTATTTAAATACACAATCTTTCTGAAAAGCAATACCATAGAGGCCGAATGTAAAAGCAAAATGTTGGTACTCAAAGAAACCACGGCGCGGACCTAGGCAATTTAATAAGGCCATAGACAAATAATTTTTTGATACGACAGCTATGTTAATTATTAAATCACTTAATAGAGACTACCCGTTCTTATCGAACGACTGATACAAAATAATAAGATTAACGCATTCCGCGCATGTTCCGCATACTTCAATAAAATAAGAAAAATACATTGTATACGTGGAATGCGATAGTATTTTAAGTCATTACAATAACGATTTTAATAGCTTAAGCCACGTTAATGCTAAGGAATTTGGTACATTAACCACAATAGAATTTTTCTCGGTCAGACCGTATGCGCGTGAGTTATGCCGGAGAATAAAATATTTTGTGTTATTGTATTCACCAAATGTTTTCTATGGGGGGGGGAGGGAATAGTTATGTTTCGTGTTCGATAAACAAAAGCAGGATTATTAGCATTCCTAAATAACCTATTGGAGGTCGCAGTGTCTCCTTGATTTTTCGATAACCAAATAATTTTGAATATTCACCCTGTTTAGGTATTAACTACACTCAAGAATTTTTTAAAGTAATCATATTAACGGTAAGTACTTTACAGAGATCGAATAGCATATTTATTATTTATTGCACAGTTTACATTTGTATTATTTTTTTCTAACTTGACAAAAGACGACAACAAATATGGCCGATTCAAACCACAGAGACCCAGTGATGACCCTTTATAGAGTTAAGTTGGTTTAAATAAAACACTTTAACGGTTTAAAACGTGATATATTAGTTAAATTTATTTAAAAAGGATTTTTGCAGCAGCCGTAGTCACGGGGAGACCACGGCTACTGCAAAGCATCCGAAACGTCGGGCCGAAGTTAAAAATAGTTTTCAAATAAGTTTAACTAATATATCTCGTTTTAAACCGTTAAAGTGTTTTATTTAAATGTTTACTACTCGCGTAAACTATAGACGGTATTTAGTTAAGTTGGTGTCATAGATGATACAGTTATAATGAAACAATGGTCATATATTCAAAATTAATTCTACACGAAATTTAAAAGAAAGTCATTATTATTCAAGATTTTGACCAAGTTTGCATGATGATTTGATTTTTACTAAATTAATTTGAAGTAATATCATTAGTTTTCTATATAATCTATTGTCTTGAAGTGTAAACAAAAATCACGATTTCATATAAATTGTATGTTTGTTTACCAAGTGAAAGAAACATTAAAATGTCAAGTCAAAAAAAGAAATCCAGAAGAATTACGAACATTACATTATAGAATGAAATCATATGGTTTTAACAGTTAAATTTTAAATTCCGATTCAACGACAATCCATAGAGCATTCGAAATAAGTTTTTGTATATTATAAACTTTTTTAATTTAAGCTCATTTGACGTTTACTTAACAACACGAGAACCTCAATATAATAATAATTCGAGTTTAACAAACTTCTGTTTTTAAGTTCCGAAAAGGAAAGCCACATGGTGGCCGAACCTTGACATTCCGTTTAAAAATAATATTCGGTTATAGTACAGTTATTATATCCATTTTTGCTCTTATTGTATTGCTATAAGGTTGTAATTTCATTAGCGATGTTTTGAAGGAATGCCCGCATTTGGGGGGTACAATTGC